TTGGGCGTATTAGTCATCCGAGTTGGTCTGAGGTTGGGCGTGCTAGTCAACGGGTGGGAATACAATGGCGTCCGCAAAGAACACATCCACAAGCGTTGGACCATCTGCCCCCGGGGAGGGACGACCTGTACAGCAACCTACTGCTCAGTAGATGCACACAAATGGAGCACCATGGTTTTTGGATTTCGTTGTTCAGGGGGACTTTTTTGGGCCAGCTGTTTTCATGCGACCCACTTGCGTGACAGACGCTGGGGGAGTTGTCAACGTTGTTCCTCTCGGTACCGTCGTCTCGTGCACAAAGACTCCTGGAGGTTTGCTCAAGCTGCACACTAACGGCGTGTACGACGAGTGCAGACTGCCTATTAGAGGTGTTAAAGGTGTGCTGGTGACCATCAAGAGTTTCGCGGGGTTTGGCTCGAAAATGCCGTTGTGCTCTCACTTCAAAGGCCTTTACGATGGCGGCAGCAAGCGTCTTCCATCGCCAGAGCAATATCTCGATCTCGCACTGATGGTGCCGAAAGAACGTCCGGTTCTTCCGCCAGAGCATGTTTTCCGGCTTCTACCACCCCGTGAGGGGGCGTCCGGCTTGGCACAAGAAACTCCAGGTACGGCAGTGGGGCGAGAGAGTCCGATTCAAGACGTTGGGGGTCAGGTTAAGGGACGCAGCGTTCACACGCAGGTCGGCCCGGATGCTCCTAGGAACACATCGGACTTCCATTCTCAGGGTACAGGGACTCAACGGGTCGGTACTCCGAAACTTATCAAGGTCCGCTGCGGCGCCGACACGTATTCGCTTCGAGATGAGACGAGAAGAGATTCAAGTAGATCGGGGCTAGATGTTGGATGGAATGAGGCTGAAGGGATGGGTGCTGTCCGCGAAAGCTCTGGCGGGGAGCAGACTCCTTCGGAGAAGAAGAGCGAGCGACAGAGGATGGTGCGACAGGAGGTGGCGGAAGGAACCCTCCGCATGAAGAGGATGAGAGGAAAACCGGAGGCGTTGATGGGCGGGGATGGAGGTGGCGACGGAGAACGTGCCTCGGGAAAGAAGCCGACGAAGGAAGAGGGTGGGATGGCAAGTAAGAAAGCGAGGAGGCCTGACGGTTTGACCATCCGCAAAGGACAAGCCGCGGGTGGAGGAGATTCGGTTGATCCAAGCGCTGAGGCCGCGAGAGAACCTTCGGGGAAATCGAAACGGAAAGTGGCAGTTGAAGAAGGCGATGGCCAGAAGAAACCTCGAAGGCGGAAGACTGCTGAGGCGGCGAGTGGTGGCGAAGGGCCTGTCGGTCAGGAGTGCAACAAAGCGGCAGTGTTCTGGCTCGAATACGAGCGGAACGATGTCGGTGAAATCGTGGAGAAGGAGCTCCCCGTCCAGCTGCTCATCGACCCCAGGAAAGTCTGCAACATCCCGCCTTGGGAAAGATATTACAACCACCACAGTCTAAGTCGCGAAACTGTGGACGACATCAAGGATGCGATGCTGTGTCAATTCCGCGAGAAGAAGATCTGGACGAGAAACCCTCTTGTTTTGGCACCCATCTACAAGCCGGTGACGCGTAGGCTGGAGCAAGCTGACAGGGTTCACAAAGATGTCTTCAAGCCAGAGGACAAGAACAAGTACTACTATTACCCTGTTAACGGACAACACACCGTGGCTGCTGTGAAGGAGTTGGAGGGTGAGCAGATGTTCGATTTGTGAAAGATGCACTCGTGGCCAGCGAGAGTAGTGTGGTTCTCCGACCGAGATTTCGCGGAGTATAGGCAGGTCAGTCTCAACGAAAACACGAGACACAAGATGTCTAAGCAGCGATCGCAGAAGGCCGCGTTCTTGGACATGCGGGAGGCATGGGAGAACGAAGGAAGGCCGATGGCCATTCAAGGGAACCCTTCCGGCAAGGAGGCCGAAAAACAAAAGTTTTTCGATTTCCAAAAGCTGATTTTGGGAAAGAGTCCGAACGAATCTCACTGGGCGTTGTCAAAAAAAGATTTGCCGCTCACCGACAAGGAGTATGTCGCTGCCGTTGGCAATGCATTGAGGCAGTGGATGCCGCTCGTGACGGGCGGTGATGATGTTTTCCTTAGAGCCATGGAGTTCTACGCGAAATGGGCGGAAGGGAAGTTGTTGGGCGGCGACGCCAAGACGCCATTGTCGAGGCCGGGCAAATACATGCCAGACAAATCTCCGGGTCTGCAAGCAATTTCGGAAATGGGCTTGAAAGGGGCGGCTGGTGAAACGAAGATGGGGTGGCTGGTCCGGGTCCCGCCGCCTCCGACCAAAAAGAAAACGCAAGCGGACGACAAGTTTTTCGTGGTCGTGAAGGAGCCAGACATGTTCTGTTGGTAGTCTCTCACCGACATGACCGATGTCGAGAAACTATCGATCCTCGACGACATTCTCGCACTACGGGGAGTGTTCGTGCAATCCGCGGGCGGCCATCTGAAGCGTCAGCATAAACCTGGAATTAAAGACATGGTCGCGACAAGGAAAGTGGACCGTGTGATGCTCCGTATGTTCCACTACATCTTGTTCCTTGAAACGGAGGAGGACGAACGTGTTTGGCACCACGAGAGCCTATTTTTTCAGACCGAGGGGAAGCTTCTGGAGGAGTTCGGGCCGCAGGGCCTCACGAAACAGATGTGGGTCAAAATGCGAAAGCATTTCCAGGGCGCGGTGGAGTACGTGAACACTTGCAAACGTACTCTTCCGCGCGAGAAGAAGTCCCTCGACGACGCGAAGAAATTGTACGAGGATGACAGGTTCCCTAAATCTTTCGAAAAGTCTGTCCGTTCCATCTTGCGACGGACGGAAGAAGAAGTTCGAGACACGATCAGGGTCAGCGGGAATGTGAGGCACATCAAATGGCCCAACCTCAACCGGGTGACCAGCCTTATTCCTTTCGCTTTCCCGCCTTCCCAAGCTCACAGTCATGTCACTGCGATCCGTGAGGTTGTGCAACATTACGTGTGCAACCTATACGTCCTCGATTTGTGTGATCCCACACTCCTCACAGATTGGCGAGAAGACGATTTCGCCAACTTGCAAGGCCTTCTACAAACACTTTCGCCAACGCACTGGGCACTTGTGATCTTTTTCCCCTCTCGTTGGGAGCTCAGTTTCTTGAAAGGCATGGCCAGGCTTAGCGTCCATCACGTCAAGACAGGGAAGTGGGTACGTAATGCACAAAAGCAGGCCACTGTCCGGGAAGGCAATATGCTGGTTGAGGAGTGTGACCGCCTGTACGTGGTTTTTAATGGCGAGAAGCTGGAAGACAACACATTCGCAGTCTACCCAGCCAGTAGCCCGACAAAGGCTTCCTGTGCTCATGGTCCAATTCCGGCTAAACACACGGTGGCGGGCCCATCAGGACAGGCTGTGGCGTGTTTCGACGTGGCGGAAGAGGAAAGGTTCTCTCGTAGCATGGGGGAGGACGGCGGCGTGACAAGTTCTCAAGGACCTGCTTACGGGGAGATGGAGCGGAACCCGTCCCGTCTACTTGATCTACTCGAAAACTTTTGCAAAGTTGGTCAAGCTGTTATTTTCTTTGGGAGGGCGCATGCGTCTGTCGTGTGGGAACTCCTGCGCACCGGTCGGAACGTCGTCGCGTTGGAGAAGGAGGCGAAGATGATCGATTACCTTCACGAGTTCGTGAAGGCACGCGTTGCAGACACTCGCAATGCTTGCCAGTTTGCAAGGTCCACCGGCGAACGGAACTGGGATCCCAAACGTGACATGTATTGAAAATTGCCGGGAAACAAAAGGACAGACGTTTGGGACTTCCTTTTCGGACCCGGACCGCCTGGTCCGACCGACCTCGAATACAGTCGACGGAGAAACCTAGTGCTCGTTGTGCTCAATGGGTACCACGGTGCACCCAGGGAGTCTGTCTCGCACTTCCTGAGAAGGTTGGAGCACGTTTACTTCACGCTGGCTGAACCGCTCACTCTCGAAAACTACAAGTCACAGTTTGACGAGGAGGACCCTTTCGACGCTGAAGACATGGGGGAGCTGAGCGACTCCGAAACCTTCGATTTCGAGTCCATACCACTTCCTCGGGTGGTTGGACAGGTTGGTGATGAAGAGGAAGGTGGCCCTCGGAGATATAGCACGTCCCCTGCCGGTTTGAAGCATGTGTTTCGGGGCGAACCAGTCGACGACCAATCGTCTGATGACGGGAAGGAAGAGAGAGACTATGATCACGAGCCTTGTAACAGGCTCCCTGCGGACCATGACACCTGGCAGAATGACAGACTCTACTTCTTCGGCAAGCATCACCGGTTCACGTCGGAGGATGTCTGGGGACACAACGTCGTCTGGCACCCGAGGATATTCCAACGTGCTGTGAGGAATGGAATATGGGTCATGGCAATAAAGGAGGCCGATGGCAAGTGGAGTGGACTGAAGAGACTGGGAGCGGGTGCATGTAAGAGAAAGGCAAGAACTGCTCTGGTGGAGCATTTGAGTCTCATGAACCCCAAGAGGAACGATCAAGACGTCGAAAGCTACATGAGTTGTACGCCAACAACATGTTGGAGTTTCGAGCGCCTTTCTACAACTCGAAACGGCACCGTCTCGTGGCATTGACTGGCGCATGCCGCAACCTCCGTCGGCTGGTCAGCATCCGGGAGGGGGTGGTGGAGCAGACGAAGGAGACGGCGGAGGTGGCGAAGGAGACGGCTCACAGTTTGTTGGAAAGGGGACAGGCGAGACATCGTCGGTTGAGAATGCATCCGGCGAAAAGGGGTCGGGCGGAAAGGGGTCGGGCGGGAAGTGGGAAGGGGTCAGGCGGAAAGCATAGAACGCCCGGGAGTCCCCAGTATATGAAAAATGACCCCCACTGCTTAGGGAGTCGAGATTCCGACATGCGAGACGAGGCCATCCTTACGTCTGATCAAGTGCGAGTAGATTCGCACTTATCTGCAAGGAGTTTGTTTCCCGTTGCCCAGGAGAGTCCATCCCGCCGTGCGCAGCAAAGGTCTCCTGTGCTCAACACCTTGCTCCTGAAAGAGGGCGCGTCTTCGTTTTGCCTGGAGGGCGGGATGCCTGCATTGCGAAGGAGCGAAGGTCCGACCTCCAGTTCCCTCGGCTCGAGCGACCGCCACAAACTCCGAATACATTCGGATTTGCTGACGTCGCCATCCGCCATAAGTGCTCCTCACGCAACAGTTCCGCGGGGCCAAGAAAATGTGACGCCCTGGCCCCCGCATCTTCAATTGGACACAGGGTTACCCTGCTCGCCTCCATTCTCATGTGTTGAGACTCCAGACTGGCGGTGTCGAGCGCATCAGTCCGGCACCACTCATACGTAGCGCGGGACCCTCCCGGCCGCGTCACGCAGGAGTCAGAGTACACATCCTCGTTGTGATATATACGTGGAGCTTCCGTAAGCCGCTCCGACCGGGTGCGCCAGCCATACCTCTCGCGAGCCCCTACGACAGGACAGGGCCTACGCGAGACACGACTACTCCCACCTTACGGGAGCTGTCACCTCCCTTCGGTGGGCGTATCCCCGCCGAGCTACCAGTCCACAATACGAAAGCTGATCAGCTGCAATCGCAGAGGTGGACCAGCCGAGGGCGTTTCTCGTTCACTGTAGCATAAGGGGTACGCGCGGTACTACGCCTCTATCGGACCCGCACGCGAACCGACATCTTGGGGGGCTGAGGTCCCAAGCACGGCTCGTCGTCGGTCGACTAGGACGTATCCCACACGCCACGCGCATACCACTATAAGGTACATAAAAGTAAAGCACACGCACACATGCACACCAGTACTGAACGACGCAAAGGACGTACAACGCGACATCCTCCTAGTCCCTTAGTATCCATCCCATAACTTCCTGGAGCAGGAATCGGTTGAGAGTCATGCACGAGACTTAATCTAAAGCCGCGCGGGCGTAGGCCTTCTCATATCGACTAGCAATGCCAACTTACACAAGCAGTCGTGAAGATGGCGTACTATGCAGTGCCCATAATCGAGCGGTCCCTCGTGCATCCGAGTACCGCTTATGACACTCACGTGTCAGACTCGAAGTATCGTGAAGATTCCGCCCTTCACGACATTGCACGGTTGAAGGACTAGCCGTGCGGCCGCCGCGGCACATCCGGCTTTCGGCCCGAGTGCCCTGGCGATCGAGGCAAATAGGCTCTACCCGAGGGGGGTCCCCTTCAGTGCAGGGCCTAGGGCTTGGGATGTCCTGGCCAAGGACCTTGAATCCCGGCCCAGGACCAACGTCCGACTAGCAAATCTCCAAGAAACACTTATCTAAGTAATGGGGTCGTCCTTTCTCTATTAACCCAACCCTTATTTACTCCTTAGCACGCGGCCCCCTTTCAGGTCACACAAATACCTTACATAGGTACGCATACATACATATATACACACATATTTACTCATATGGGAATGAACGTGTGACAATCACATCTCACAGTCATAGTGGGTCTCCTTATAGCCATACACATATATATAAGATCGCAGGGCAGTCCAATCCAATAATCCAAGCCCCAGAACATACCTGCAATCACATCAAAGAGTCAAGCAAAAGTCCATACACTACACGGAGTCAACTCCAACCAATCTCTATGCTCATACCCTTTGCCTCAGTCATGCAAGCCCCAACCTCTAACCAACCAACCTTAAGTAAATACTCAGTACCTTTGTTCAATGACCATTCAATAAAAGTCTGGGTGAAACCTTAACAAAACAGAGAAGATCACCAGGGCTGAAGTCTCTTTAGGTTGAGTAAGGAGAGTGGGTTGAGGTTGAGTCGTAAACCGACGAGTCGGCAACCGACCTGTTATCTGTGATAACAGAAGGTGACCCTTGCAGGATCAAAGCTGAATCTAGCCCCAAGTCCTGAAACAATCGATCAAGGAGACCTGTAACACAAGACAGGCCAATCTCAAGCTAAGTCTATGAGCTCATAGAGGATAACCTCCATATCACGATCTTACCCAAGTCACCACATTTAACTAGGTCTAAGCTGTATCTCTAGCCAGCGCCTAAGCAAAGGTAGCCTATGACATAGTCTCTCCTACGTACGTTGCCACCTGTTGAAATACAAGCTAACTCCTCTAATTTAGAAAAATTTCGGCAGCGCTTCCCATAGGAAAAGTGTCATCGCAGAAAATATAGTAGTTCAAAAAGTCAAACTTTGGATCCCAGAAAGTCAAAATTTATCTAACTCCCTGACCTAGTAAAAATATGGGTAGCATTTCCTTCAGAGAGGAAGGTCCCCCCCAGATCTATACTAAGTCAGACTTGGACTTAGACATACAGTCTAAGCCATGTCACGACAAAATCTCAACCAATTTCTTAGTTTTGTAGAAATTTCGGCAGCGCTTCCCGTAAGGAAAGTGCTGGTCCAAGATTTGTACAAGGCCAAGTTTGGGACCTGACAATGACTTTAATCCCTCAGGGCCCAATTTTGGCTAACTCCTTGATTTTGTAGAAATTTCGGCAGCGCTTCCCGTAGAGAAAGTGGCTTACCAAGATTTATACAAGACCAAGTACGAATCAAAAGATCCCAAAAAGTCAAAAATTGATCTAAGTAAACAAAACGAGTCCAGAAAATGCAGGAAATGACTCTAACTCCTATGGCTCTAGCACGTGGCGAGGAATTACAGCAACTACCTATCAAATTCAAACCCAGACTAAGACGTGGCATCACTCAGTCACATGCAGGCCAAACCACAAACATGCACTCTCTCACCATCCCCAAGGTACCTTAGCAAACAATAGTTTGTAGCCTTTCAATGATTTGTCCCTTATACCCAGCTTACATAGGGCATAAGGCTAGACCACCTAAACTTATGGAACATGTCTAGCCCAGCCAAGAAGTATACACAAACACAGGGCACAACAACTTTTCTCTTCTTTGGGCATGTGACTAGGTCATCCTAGTCGCCCTGAACAGCTTAAGTATCCAGAGTTTATATAGTTGTCTGTACTTAGTCTTTTGAGGTAGCATATAGTTGAGCCGATCATCTTCAGCTCAAGACTCAGCTTGCCCCTTCGTACCACAAGTTTATTCTTAGTTAAGTACTCTCTTCAGTTGGTAATAAGCTATAGTCAGGCCACCCAAACTTATGGAACCCTGCCTGACTAGCCTGTTCATAGATAGTATAATAGTAAAGTATATCAAAGTTATAACCTTCTGATTCCAGCATGTGCGAGGCATTGGACCAAGACCRCCCAAACTTATGGAACATGTCTCGGTCCTCAGCCTGGTTCATTTTCTCAAACCAAAGCAGGAAGAGGTAGAGTCACCCAAACTTATGGGACATGCTCACCTCCTCATTCAGAAACCAAAGAAACTGGCAAAAATCCCAAACAAACAAGATTGCCAGACTACCCTAACTTATGGATTTGACTGGCTCCTGAAAAAGCAATCACATACAGCCCTCATAAGTCAGAGCAACCAGACCACCCAAACTTATGGGACCTGTCTGGCTCTCCAGGCAATACAAAATAAAACACAGCACTGGGTCTTCCCAAACTTATGGAATTGGCCCAGCCTTTGGTTGACACGGTCAAACTTCATGCAATACTGTCTTTCTCCCACCCTTCCCCCAGATGCAACCCCACAATTTGCTTTCAATCAACCAAAGAAGTTGGAACTGAACTTTATACATGCATCCTTTTACTTTGTCTGGTTATGTCCTGAATAGATAACAAGATTTATAGGGACAGGCAGACATACATCAATCAAGTTATAGCGGGATATGCAAACATGGGTGTAGTGGGACGTACAGATAGGGATGGTATACCTGAT